GCAGTTCACGGTTTCCAACATCATAGTTGGACTCGGCAGGAGATAGACGACGAGAAAAAAAGGCGCACGGATGGATTTTACTGTCATGAGACAGTACTGCTCCAACACCAGACTCTGAGGCATCAACCTCGACGATAAACTGTAGTTGAGGGTTGGGATGAACAAGGATGGGAGCAGAAGTGAACAATCTTTTCAACTCACCAAAAGCGTTTTCTGTTTCAGAGTCCCAAACAAATCTTTTCAGGRTAGAGGTAAGTCTGGTCAGTGGGGCTGCTTTGAGACTGTAGTCCCGAATAAAGCGCCTGTAGAAATTTGCAAACCCCAAAAAGCGTTGCAACTTCTTGCGATGCTTAGGTGTGGGCCAGTCCTCCACAGCTCTTACTTTTTCAGGGTCCGTCCGCACCTGTCCTTTCTCAAAAATAAGACCCGAAAAATTCACAGATGAAACTCCAAACTCACATTTCTCTGCTTTTACGAACAGCTGATTCTCCAAAAGGCGTTGCAACACAGTACGGACATGAAGACGATGCTCCTGGGAGTTCTTGGAATAAATCAAAATATCATCCAAATAAACAAAAACAAACTTGTTGAGAAAATCTCTTAACACATCATTGACTAATGCTTGGAAGACGGCTGGGGCATTAGTGAGGCCAAGTGGCATCACTAAATACTCAAAATGACCAAAGGGTGTTCTAAAAGCCGTCTTCCATTCATCTCCCTGCTTGATGTGGACCAAATGATATGCATTGCGAAGGTCCAACTTCGTGAAAATAGTAGCCCCTTGGAGTTGTTCATGAACGGAGTCGATTAAGGGCAATGGGTACTTGTTTTTAACGGTGATACTATTAAGCCCCCTGTAATCAATACAAGGTCTTAAGGACTTATCTTTCTTTGCTACAAAAAAGAATCCAGCGCCTACTGGGGAGGTGGACAGACAGATTATACCAGAAGCTAATTCAATATACTCCCGCATTGTCTCTTTCTCTGGACCAGATAAGTTATATAACCGATTGGATGGAAGCGGGGAGCCGGGAAATAAATCAATGGAGCAGTCATATGATTTGTGGGGGGTTGAGAGAGTGCTTTGGTTTTACTGAAGGCAGGAGCCAAATCATAATAACAGGAAGGGATGGATCATAGATCACTATTTTCTTTACAGGGGGGCCGAGGTCTGATGCAGGAAACAGCTATTTTTGAACAGTGTTCAGAACAAAAGGTGCTCCAACCTTCAATGTGTCTCATGGATGGATGGATGGATGGATGGTTGGATGTTTGATGGATGGATGGATGGATGGGTGGATGAAAACCAAGGATAACCAAGAATAACTTGTGGTTTATCAGATTGAAAAACAAAAAACTCACCCCGATCATGGTGATTACCAGAGATAACGATGGGTAACTGAGAGACTTTCCGGGAAATTGTGGAGACATTTTGACCAGTGAGTGCAGCCATGGACAGAGGTCGTGACAGTTCCTCAGTAGGGATGGAAAGTTGTTTGACCAAGTCATCACTGATTAGTGACTGTTCAGCACCAGAATCTATTAAAAC